GCCGCCACTGAACCCACCATCTCCACCAAACCCAAACCCCTCAACAAACGTTCATTCTTGGCCGAACTTCGTCGTACAAAATCCTTCTCCGCGTCCAAAAACGAGGGTCTTGGTTTTTCGGGCGTCTTTGAACCGCAACGTAAGTCCTGTGATGTTAGGGTTCGAAACACCCTTTGCAACCTTTTTAATCTTGACGATGAATATAAAAATAAACCACCGCATACTAACATTCAAAGCTTAAATCAAAACAATGAAAACTTCACCACCCACAGTTTAGGCCCGGTTTCTTCTAAGGTCACGGGACCAGTTCTCGAGTCCAAAGAAGAGGATACTGAAAATAGCGACAGTGATGATGACAATGACGACGAAATTAGGGTTTTAGAAGAACCCAATTATGTGTCAAATGTGGTGGAAGAAACTGTTCCCGAGATTGTTGATGAGAGTGTTGAGAATGATATTAAAAGAATGAAGGATCACATATATCTTGATTCGCAGATAAAAAAGAATTCAGGGATGGACTTGAAGGAAATTGCGGGGTCTTTTTGGTCCGCAGCTTCGGTGTTTAGCAAGAAATGGCACAAGTGGAGGAGGAAACAGAAGCTGAAGAAGATGAACGGTGGTGGGGATACTGTGGCATTGCCGGTGGAGAAACCCATTTCGAGGCAGTATAGAGAAACCCAGTCAGAAATTGCAGATTATGGTTTTGGAAGAAGATCTTGCGATACTGATCCTAGATTCTCGCTTGATGCGGGTAGGATTAGCTTTGATGATTCAAGGTATTCGTTTGATGAGCCAAGGGCCTCTTGGGATGGGTATTTGATTGGAAGGACTTTTCCGCGGCTTCCACCAATGGGTTCGGTGGTGGAGGATGCTCCTGTGGTGCATGTTTTACGGTCGGATATGCAGATTCCGGTGGAAGAACCCATCAATTGTAGAGATGAGGAGGAAACAGTGCCTGGTGGGTCGACTCAGACTAAGGAATATTATTCTGATTCTTCCTCGAGGAGGAGGAAGAGTCTTGATAGGTCTAGTTCTATAAGGAACACTGCAGCGTCTGTGGTGGCGGAGATGGATGAAATGAAGGGAGTTTCCAATGCAAAAGTATCTCCCGCAACCATTGATAATTTTCATGGAGGAAAGGTTATGGTTGGGGATAGGGATGTAAGGAATTCAAATTCGAATTCTTTGAGGGATGATTGTTCTGAGACTTTTGAGTTGAGTGGTTTTAGGGATATTGCTTCGGTTATTGAGAACGAGGAGAGAAAGGAGTTGAAAAAGTCACGCCGGTGGAGTTGGAATATTTGGGGGTTTATACATAGGAGAGGAGGGAACAAGGATGAGGATGAAGAGAGGTATAGTAGAGGAAATGGGGTTGACAAGCCTCTTTCAGAGGCTTGGCAAGAGTTGAGGAGGGAAAAGAATGGTGAAGTGAGAGGAGGGTTCAATAGGAAAAGTTTCCGCAGTAATAGCAGTGTGAGCTGGAGGAATACTTATAGCACTGGTGGATCATTTGGGAGTACAAGGAAATCAGACGCCGAGACGAATGGGCATGGTAAAACGAGGAGAGATGAATTTGTGTTGGAGAGGAATCGGAGTGCTAGGTATTCGCCTAATCACATTGATAACGGGCTCTTGAAGTTTTATTTGGCACCAATGAGGAGCAGCTGGAAAGGTGGATCAGGGAAAGGCAGGCCAAATAATTCCCATTCAATTGCGAGGAGTGTATTGCGTCTGTACTGAGATCAAAGGTTCTCAAGTTTTTCCCTGGTTTAATGTTAATTTTGCTTCATTTTATTTGTGTAAGCACACATGCTATGTATTCTTGATAAAAAGATTCCATAATAGTGCCTTGCACAATGAATAGTTGCTTATTTGAGTACTTCAATATGAAGAAAATTCTGTGTTCTTTTGTTTCTAGTTCTGCTATTGTTAATGCATTGACTTTCTTTTTGCTATATTTGCCGTGAAATTTACCCTTGCCCACGTGGAGTAAAATTTTCCTTAGGTGTTGAAGTTTGGGCCCCCGTGTTGATACCTTATCTGATTTATCCTGCATTTTTGCTGATTTGTGAATGTTGCAAGGCATTATTTCAGGGAATGCTTGTATTATTTGGCATGTTGTATGTTTTTGTAACGGCAGTGAAGACGTGGGCTCAAGTTATTCATTGCTTTATTTTTCACCAGTTGATTGGTCCATAGCAGCAGAATACAAGTGCATTCTGTCGTTTGTCATTGTTGTTTACCAACTAATCAATCTATAGTAATGGATTGCTCAGGGCCCTGATTATTTGTGTATCGACAAAATAGAAGCCGTCAACCTCATTAAGAATCATGTCAATCCCACTATCAGCTCTTTATATCTCAACCCATTGTTTTTTCCTTTCTGAAAACTACTCTGGTTCTGTCATTTCGAGATATAGTCAATTTGCAGCATGGACATGGTTAAGGCTTTACCTAGATAAATGCCCTCATTAACAGCCATTGTCAGTGTCACTGTCTGGTTTTTGCATCTCTAACTGAAATTTTCCATCTGAATGTCTATATGTTTGTTTAGTCTAATATGTTAGGGCAGATATTATCCAATGAAATATGGAGGTTCAACTCCTGATTTCAGATTTCAGCCAGGTCCCATTAGAATCTGAAATGATGCAGGATAGGAGTCCTATTAGTAGGGCCCTAAAATTTAACATAGACAGTTTCTCATGTTGTCCAATGAATCGAAGTAAGGTTTAAATGTGTAGCATGCAACTCTTATGTTATTGATAGAGTTTCCTATCAAAAAAATTGTTATTGATAGAGTTGTGCCTAAGGGTTGATTTGTCCGAGTCCATTTAGGTTCCATGACCTCTATGGTCAGCGTCTAGATAGCCTAGATGTTAGTTTTCTGGAAGTGATATAGTAATTCTTCTTTTCTCAGTTCATTGTTGCGAGTTGGTCAGTTTCCGGGAGATCATGGTGGATCACCCACCAAAAAGGAAACAAATATTGTAGTGGCTTAAACGGAGAGAGAGATGTCTTACCTGTTCAGTCATATGCTTGAAACAAAGGGAAGTCAGCTGAACAGCTTAAGGCTGGTATATTTTGAAAAACTCTCTCATCTACATGTGACTGCAGTTTTATTCTGTTAAACTAACTTTTATTTTTCTCTGTTTTTCATTTTTTACCATGCAGAAAACTGGCATTAGTTTTTCAGGGGGTATTGCAAATTTATTTACCCCTCTTGGTGGCACAGTTAAAGCCTTGAAATCAGTTTGAGTTTGCAGAAAGAATGGCATTTTGCTAGCTCTTGGTATCAATGGATGGTTGTTAAAAGCTTGGAAAGCCCGGGAGAAAACAACTAATGTTTACACAACAAAGGAATCATGACGGGCAGCGGGCTTTGATACCCGAGGATTTGTTGATATTCTCTCTCATTTCTTCCCATGATCATATGAGCTCTCCACTCCCATTTCTAGTCAGACAGGGTGATCAATCAAGGTGGAGCTGGTGGAGACAATATCCTGAATTGCTTCATATCCATTTGAAGAATAATACAACGCATGGTTTGAATCAGAAAATAGTACCCGTGTTCGGACAAAGTCAACTAGAAGAAGTGAGTTCTTTTTTTCTCGGAGCCATTGTACCCTTTCTTTATTTCTCAATTGGGGCTGTGTATCTTCTATAGTAATTGGTTCATGAGGAATAGATGCATTGGGGATTTGCTAAATAGGGAAGATTGATCTTTGTCTGAATTCCTTTATTTTCCTTAAAGACAGAGACAGGCAATAAAGTTATTCTTATGTTTGACTTTATTTTCATGAATGTCTCTGTTCGTATGTTTCTTCAAAATTGTTCCCAGTACCTTTGAGCCACAAAATAGCCGTCTTAACTAACTATACTTATTAAAGACGGATAGTCCAGATGTGTAGAGTGAATTTTGGGCCGTGTCATAAATTTGGACTAATCGAGAGGACGAATGTCTCAAATTAGGACGAAAAGTCAGGGGATGTAGAGGGAATTTTGGACGATTGTAAATTTGGATGTGTCTTCTTCATAGTGACATGCAAATTTTACCAATAGGTGTGATTTATGGGTAATTGTAGGTATTTATAAATTTTGCGCCATTGGAAAAAAAAAACAAAACAAATAGACTCCAAAGAAAATGTGCTAGTTGCCAATGAGAACTTTGACTAGGAAAGTGAAAACAAAGTTGTTTAAACGCCTGGTTGGCCCAAATCCCATCAGCAAAACAGAGAAATTCAAACTTAGCAATGATTTTTGGTGGAAAAAATGAGCACTTTTGAACTCCTAATGGGTAAAAAAAAAAAGGAATCAAAGTAAACAACATAATAATTGTGTGTTTGAGCCTTTGTGTTTTCTTCTTTGTTTCCTATACATGTGAAAGTGCTCTTTGATCGAAATATACTTGCCACTAAAGTCAAAAAGTGTCAAGAACATCCCAACATGCTCCTTCATGTGGGAATAAAGAAAGAAAGAGGTAAAGAAGGAACGAAAACAATAAAAAGAGGCTCGTTGCCCCATGGCAATGCTAAGTTCCTCCATTAGCCTCAACATGTAAGCTGAAAACTGAATCCATTGACTACTAAAGCATTTGTATAGATGTAAACCAACATTTTGTTAGGATGTTCTTATGCTGAAACATCAAAGTCAAATCAAGCACTTTCTAGACAAATCAAATGACGTTCCAAAAGAATGCACCGAAGCAATTTCCTCTAGCCAGATCAAGGCTCTTGTTGAGAGATCTATTCGTGATTGGGCCACCCCTTCTGGCAAAAAGAAGAAAGACAGGTTCAAGCAATTGATCCAAAGGGATCTCCTTCCCTTCCAAGTTGCTATGGGCTTGACCAAAACTTCAAAACTGTAGGCTGTGATACATTTTCTGAAAAATCCAAGAAACCGAAGTGTATTGGAAAAGAATGGATGCCAAAATCAGGATACAAGATAAACATTCTGATCTGGACTCATTGCAGGAATATTAGATTCTTTCTACCCTCGATCAATCAAAAACGACAACCAAAGTACTGACTTTTCACATCTTTAGGACTTCCAATGATACGACTCCTACCATTACGTGTTTTCTGTAAATCCACGTAATTAACATCTTTCACCTTCTTGTCATCACTGTCAACTTGATGTAGGGATGACCTAATCTCCATGCTCATCCGTCTAGGGATGGACACATTGAAGTAGTAGCTCAGTATATTTCTTTTGCACTTGCAGGGGAAGCATTTCAAGGCATGCTTCAAAAAATTCTTACCTTTTGATGGTGGACTCACTTTCACAAGAGAATCGAAACTTTGTTGTTCCTTCAATGTCCATGACTTTGAAACTTCTTCTCCCATCTCATCGAACTTCCAACTGAAAAAAGTAGGACCAAGATCATATTGCAGAAGGAGCCTCTGCTCAAGAATGTGGATTCTTGAACAATCAGTTGATCCAGGAGAGACACATGAGCAAGAGTCAGGTCTCCCTTTTCCAACTGCTTTTCCAGTTGATTCTTTATTTGTGTCTTCATTGGGCCAAACCCGGGTGCCCAACCACCTCAAAGTTTCAGAATCACAATACTCACCCCTAAGAATTCCCTTGTTAACAGGACCAATCCAGTCAGGAACATCAGCCTGGAAGTGTGGCCCAACTGGAATAACCGTTCTTTGGAGGTGATCACCAATGAAGTTCAGCAACCTGGGTGATCGCCTAGGGGTGTGAAGAAATGTTTGGTTTGATTCTTCCAAATTTGAGCTTGAACCATGAATGGAGTCACCCAAATCCGGTAAGGGTGGATCCCGGACGGTCAGGTTTTCTGAACTCGGAGAATTTGAACCATTAACAGATTCATCAGAATCAACCAAGGGAGAAACATCCTTGTTCAGGGGACTCCTGTCTGTTGCATAATCCATAACGGAGAATTCAGCAGATAGCTTTTTCCATCGACAATCATCCTCAAATGTCAATATGCTGCACGAACTATGTGAGCTCAAGAGAGTTTTCTGCTCTAAACTTTCAGTGGAGTCAACTGAATCCAGCAAGGATGAAACCGAAGAGGCATGAGATAACTGCCCTCTGCTCAATTCTGTGGCATTTTGTTGGTTACATACCTCTGAAGCCAATAAAGGGGCAGCTCTGAACTTATTATTTAGAAACTGCTGCAATTTCCGTTTTCTCTGGAAAAAATAGTTACAGAGGGGTTGTCCCTTTCAAAATAACCCGAGTAAAAATAACTGAAGATTCATGTTTAAGCGATGACATCTGCAATGAATATTCCTTCAACGTACAATAACTCACCTTCAATTTAGAAACTTAATGCCCAAGAACAAGAGAGTTTCTAGTGGTTGTCAAGTTACATATATCTCACTGTAGGGTAGGTAAGTGATGTTCTATTAATTGAAATATTCCGTCGACAGAACTAGTAAAAGATCTAAGATAGAAACAGATTACTTTGTCATATCCTATTCTATTGCAAGGAACCAGACCGAAAAAAAAGTTACCTAAACATCTGAGTAGGCCTAGAAAATAGTCTTAGAATTGAATTGGACTAAGTAATGTATCTTGAGACTAGTTTGATAACCATGTTGAGTTCAATAAAACTAGAGATTTTTCTTGCTTGATGCACCCATCCAAGGTTGAATGCAGTAGGACTCAGATTTCTTTTTCTTCTTCTTGTTCTTCTTCTGTTCTTCTGTTTTTGTACTTTTTCTTGGGCTGCTGTCCACAACATCAAAACAGTTCCTTATTTCAAATCCAAATTTAGCCAAGTGCCCAAACTCTGCTAGGTCCTAATCAACCAAAACCACATGGCTTACCAATTAGATTTTGCTTTAATGCCAAAAGTTTCAAAGGAAAACTTTATAAAGTATCCAGTAATCCATAAACTGAAATTTCAGCAACCTAAGGCATTGGTAGCCAAGTCGAAGCCAGCCACTTTTCATTGACTCACCGTACAAACATATTATATTCTTTAAAATCTGAACATACAAGCTTCCCATATCCTCAACCGACCAAAAAAACTACTCATACACAGCATTACATGGAGTTTTCCACTTCTGTTCTAAACAATAATTATAAACTGCCAGAGTCTCTGTGCCCTCTTCAATGGTAGAATAAAACTCATATTTATCAGTATACATCAACAATTTATAACTACTCTCATATGTAAGTTTTTTACCTTTCAAATAACGACGGCGTTACAACACCTCTTAACTCCCAAGACATGCATTTGCAACTAGCTTCTAAGTTCCAAGTTGTTCAAATGGTTCATAACAAAGTCCCAGAGTTCTTCACTAGGATTATAGTTTACTTTGGACATAGGTTCCACAGAGCATGTACAACTAAGTTATGGTCCTTACGGATGTAGTTAGGCAAATACAGGAGCACAACATTTGGGTGCAGCTTAATCTCATTCCTTGACAAGCATCAGATCAGTAGCACAAAACAGGTGTAGTGGCAGTACTTCAATCCCCAAATTCATTTTTTTTTTCTAAATAAGTCAGTTTTGTAGTTTCTCGGTGTTCAACATCCGAAAAGATAGTACGCTAACCAACAAGCGTAGTTGGCAACCATTGATTCTCTCAAGACTATCAACAAGATGTCAAATAATCAATCCTTGCCAAAGGGAGATTCTACGTGCCCTGTTAGCTTCTCTGTATGCTTTCTCATCTGCTATAGATGCACTATTCAAGAATGTTTTATAGCTGATTATTCGTTGATATACCGATGTATATCGAGAAAAAGAAGAAATATGGTTAATGCAAAGAACTGATGTTGCATCACAAAGAACAAAAAAGGAACCCTATAAATGGTCCCATGTAAAGCATAATGGCAATGCACAAAATGTATAGCCAACAGACAATCCTCAAACATCAGATAGCAGGTGGTCGTGTTGATTTGTGGACCAGCATACTAAACATGTATTGAACACATGCCCTAAACAATTACCACTTAACCAACACAACATTTCCAAAAATTAGAGAAGATGCTTGAAAGTTTGAAACATAAATATGAATAAGACTTTACCCGGGGAAATGCAGTATCACATAAGGCCATTACTTTTCTCACTCTAAGAGTCTGATTCCACAATGGTCGAATTTTAGCCCATGATACTTCTGAATTACAAGGATCAAGAGCAAAACTTTTTAGCTGAGACAACATTTCTGCATCAGAATATCTTCCAAAAATAGATTTCTGTTGCACCATATTGCCGCCTTTGGGTGAAGAACCTTTGTCATTTTTCTCCTCCTTTCCAACCCATGATTCAGCCATCTTCATTTGCACAACCCAGCAATTTTATAACCGTTTCTCTTCCAAATTTAAACCCTGAAATCAGAATCAACAAGCCCATTAGACTTCTCTGCCGCAACCCAACCCAGATCATATACTAATTATAGGCTGCTAGTTTAGTCAATGATGGAGATATTCATCAGATAACAATTGAAAAGAACAGTAGTACCAAAATTCAAGCAGTCTACATATCTTCACAGGGTTTCAACAATGTCAAATTGGGATAGTTCAACTCATGCCAATCAAACAAACCCAGTGACATTGAATGGAGTCATAAACTTCAGTTGTGTTACTGATAAGCATAGCTTTAGTAATTTAAGAACACCGAGTCATCGCCATTGTCCCAGCATTAAGAGTCTATTACCAAGTCAAGTCTGCTTCAGCAATTAAACCAATTTAAGCATTTGCTCTTTCCGTCACACACACTATGACACAATTCGTTAGACACGAATCAACAAACAAATCGGATATAAGTGGAGTAATTTTAACACGAAGTCGCAAAAATTCGACACGTTTGACAGACCTAGGTACAACTCACGAGTATCAACCCACATTTGGGGAGTACTCGGCAATAGTACCAAATCGAGCCATTGAAAACCTCCTACTTGTTCTGTTATGTCATACAGTCATACATCAAATTTGTGTCCGTGAGAGAGAGAGAGAGAGAGAGAGAACAGAGTAGAAAGTTATTTCATGGTGATGAGAGATGTATCTAACGATGGGAAGAGGATGACAAGCTTCCTTCAGTTGCTTTCTCTACCTGAGCTGTAAAAAACATTTAATTCCTCGTTTCAAGATTTATTCGAATTTAATACAATTTGAAATTCTAGATCTCAAAAAACGAAGACTAATGTCCGTACAATATAAAAGTAGGAGGATAAAAAATTAGAAGGATTTTTGGTAAGAGGAAGTAGGAAAGATAAAAAGTGGATGAATTAACTTTATTTCCA